CAGCGTTATACTAAGCACTGCGCCAGGTATGTTGCGTGCCGCTAAGTTAGCGCCTTCAATGGTTGGCGTCTAAGGCTTCTGACGTGGATCGAACTGCAGCAAGCGTGCCAAAGGCTACACCGAATAAGCCTTGCGCTTTGCCCTCTTCTATAACGTGTCATATGATCCTGGGTGGATTTACTGCTGCTGCTGAGGATGTTTAGATATATGTGACTGGCTTGTTAACAGTGATTAAGCTTATCGCGACAGCGTTGCGCAGTCTGGGGCGACGCCTGAAGCAGCAAGGTGGTCTGGTTCGTCCCCGTAGCATTTGTAGCAGTTGTTGGAGCTGGCAATAAACAGTTGAATGGCGTGCCGGCGTGCCAGGTAAACTTTTGTCTTCTTTGTGCTTGGCTGTCGGAAAGATCTCGGAAAGGAAAGGTTGAATGTGGTGATCGCATCGTGTAAAAGAAACCGCGCTGCAGGTACATAGGAGGGCTGCGTGACGACTCCGAGCTTGCTGGTTGTGTAAGGCTTGTGAAGGTATGCGAGGAGGCGAAGAAGCTTTGACAGTTATTGCGCTCTATACAAACAGTCCGTTGTTGAAGCGCCGGTTGCACGCACGTTGGCTGCATACCTTTGTGAGGCACGCTGTGGCACAGAGTGTTCTGCGCTCCTCTCATTTCCACCCAGTCGTACAATGTGCAGTTTTAGTGCCGCTAAGACTTCTTGATGCGATGCGTCGATACAGCTTATTTTATATATTAGGCTCAGCATTAGCACGCTTGTGCCTTCTGTGGCTCGTGAAGCAGTTGCAGCACTGCCCTGCTGCTCTTGAGCACACTACAAAGCAAATAGGTTCTGTCACGTTGCTTTGACCGTGGGCGAAGAAAAACAAATTGCCTAGATGCCTGGTACGCTAATGAGCAGCACACTATTGAGGTCGAGCCGAGTGATGCGTGCGACGGAGCGCCAGTATTCGTTTTCCCTTTCCGTCGATGCGCAAGGGTGCTGTATACCCATGTGCAGGCACAGAAGTTGCCTGTGCTTTCCCCACTGTGAGGCTAGCAGTGCTGTGGCCATTTTTGGGTTGATGAGATGATGCGCTGTCGCAAATTTTTCCCTGGCAAAGATCTCGCAGTTTCACGAGTGTGGTGCGGTACGCTTGCAGTCTGCGAGTAGAGACACAGCCTGGAGAGTGGCTCATGTGCATGCCCCACAGTTCTGCCGACCCTGTTGATGCATGAAAACCAGACCTCCTCAGCTCGCAACATTTGGAAGGATCGTTTTTGGCAGGACGTGCGTCAAGGGCAATGGCAAGCAAATTTCTATTAGCTGGGCGGCTGGTATGCTGACGCGGAACAACACGGGCGACGCTGAGACGATCTGTTGCCCTTGGCGTTATGTGTGCTGGCGGACGGGAGAAATACCAGCACATTCACAGGGTTTCTGCTGTGATGCAGCTTCCCACCAACCTACTGCACACAGCGGGACTTCCCCGAACGCAATATGTACATGTATCCTGTGTGCTGTTCTTGCAATGACCAGCTTTCAACGGTCTATTTTGCACTGGTCCAGGCTGTCTACAGGCAAATAGCCGATACTCCTTATGCTTGCCTCCCGAACTGTTCTACTGACGTGACTGCTTGTTGGTGGTTCGCGCCGATGCTCTGTCGGATCAGGCAAGACTTCAAGGGCGGAGAGGGCCTTTGCCTTCTCTCTGCACACGCTTGTTGACAGCAGCTTCGCTGCGCAGCGCCAAGGCCGTCGCACTGTGGCCCCTGCCATGACGTGGGTCAGCGAGTGCGAATACGGCACGCTGTGGGGATGACCACACCAGCCAGAAGCTTGTTGAAGTGCAGAAACTGGACATTCCAAGTAGATCACACTCCCCAGCACTTTGTTCCCGTGCCTAACCACACGGATGACTCTCTGGTCCCATGATTTCGCGCTTTGGTGAGTAAGTAGTTTGGGCGACGGAGGCCGTTGCCTTCTCTCTGCACACGCTTGTTGACAGCAGCTTCGCTGCGCAGCACCAAGGCCATCACTCGCACTTTGGCCCCTGTCGTGACGTGGGGCAGAGAGTACGGATGCGGCACGTTGTGTAGATGATCACACCAGCCAGAAGCTTGTTGAAGTGCAGAAAGGGGAGGCTGCAAGTATATCCCACCCCCGATAATTTTGTTCCTGTGCCTCACCACACGGATGACTCTCCGCTCCCATGATTTGCGGCACGTTGTGTAGATGATCACACCAGCCAGAAGCTTGTTGAAGTGCAGAAAGGGGACGCTGCAAGTATATCCCACCCCCGATAATTTTGTTCCTGTGCCTCACCACACGGATGACTCTCCGCTCCCATGATTTCGCGGTTTGGTGAGTGGTTTTGAAAGCAGAGAGGCGCCTCTCTTGCGCGAGCAACCACTTTGATTTGCATATTGCCGCGGAGCGTCTCGGGTGCATCACGTGCTGGCCGTCTGCGCATCATCGCAGACTCCAAGCGGACACAAGTGATGTGCGGCTAGACGCATTTCATTTTTGTACTGTTTTCATGCTCCAGCAGCACTCTACCTCTTAATTACGGTGGGAAGCATTTTTGGGTTTACGCTGTGAGGTCTTCTGGTTGCGCAGGGGGATGACGTACTTGCACTGCGCACCGTTGTGACTCCTACAAGACAGATCTGCAACAGTGGTAATGCCTCTATGTGAGAATTTGCACGCGATGTACCTCACGTTGTACTGAGGTGGTGCACAGCGAGCTGCCGCCATAGATGATTACC